GGGGGGGGGTGATAAAGACAATAGATTTTTATAGGAAAGAAGGAGCAAACCACACCAGAGCATCCGACAACGACCTACTCTATGTTTCAAACTAACTGCAAAGACAATATTTGATGACTTTAGACAATTTTCTTCGCGCAACTGAGTAGTACGTGCTTACTTTAACGAAATAATAATTTCGAGGTAAAATTTTATTCTTCCATGTTGTTGGAATACGTTTCTTTGCGGTTAACGTTGAGGGGAGTTGAAGGACATTATTGGTATATCCTGCTTTTACCTTCCCTCTTTTATTTCTGTCTATCTGTGTTGCCTTTTTTTTTCAGCAGTAAATGGGTGTTATAGTGTGGAGTTTTATGTCGATCTGCTACTTCTTTTTTTTCTCTCACACTCAAACCTCAAACGGATCATAATTTTATGCTCGTTTCATGGAAACGTGTTTTCTTTTGCACAGTCTAACTTCTTCTCGTTGTCACCTCCGGAGAAAACAAACCACGGCAATGTGCTGCAAGTGCAAGCCTGGTGTTTCCCCACTGGCTTTCTTTAAACTTGCATAATACACTACTGGCGATGTGCTCCAGATTGTAACTCGGCCACATTAACATAACACTGCCTCTGCAGCGACAGACCGTGTGTGTATGTGTGTGTGTGTGTGTGTGTGTGTGTGTGTGTGTATGTGTGTGTGTGTGTATGTACGTGTGTGCACGTGTGTGTGTGTGTGTGTGTGTGTGTACATTTACACATAAACACCTGCTGCAGGAAGGGATACCAATCGTGACCTGGAAATATAATAATATTATCATTAAAATAAGTGGGTGACTCGGCTATTTTTTTTTCTTTTTTTTTTGTATATGTGCTTTTTTTTGTTGAAGAAAAGAGTAATAGAATTAATTATTAGATAGTTGTCTAACTGGTTGCTGCATGAAATGTCGACTCGCCTCTTACAATTTTTAGCTTTGGTTTTCTTTGTTTTGTGGAAGTATGCATAAACGATGTGATACAAATGATTAAAATAATATGTTTCCTGAGCACGTAGGGTGAACCACGGTCCATACTATCGGGCACTTAAGCACTTATCTGTTCATACTGTTCGTAACTCTAAGCCGTGGTCACGCAGTGGATCGCACTGAATACAGAGATGTGTGACCAGTTTAAATGTCGTGCTGTGTAAAGGATGCACGCACCGCAATGTAGATGATGATGTTTCTCTGCTCTCCTTACTGTCCGCGCGACCGGAATAATTAGTCGAGGCAATTAACGTCTAATTAGATTTAGGGGGGAAGGGTGAGGAGAAAAGTGAGTGTAGGGGGGGTTGGGGTTGCAATTACAGCAAATTATTGGCGATTTCCAGGTTGAAAATGAAAACCATAGATACAGGGTGCATAGAAGTTGAACCAATTTGGGGGAAAGAATAATATTTATTCGGAGACAGGAAAAAGAGGCTAAAACAGCACCTGGACATGGATGTCTAGTGCCTCTATAAATAAATAATTGATGGTCAGTTC